TCTCAATGTTATGTTATAAAACAAATGGTAAACGCCATAGTGTGCACTATTGAGTTATGGATGCACTTGGGAGGTTTGCTAAGCACTCAAGAAGCTACAGTCGCACTCGGCTATCGTCTCGTCCGACTCTTACGCTTCTTTCGTGCTTAGCAACCTCCCGCGTGCATCCATAACTCAATAGTGCACGCTATGGCGTTTACCATTTGTTAAATAGTAAATAATAGAAATAGAAATAATATAAATTATACATAGAAATTGCGTTCATTTGAAATGATAAATGTACATGTACCAGCTGTGTTCTCTATACCGTAGTACTTACCGAGCCAGAAGGATCGTCCAGGTAACTCCAGAAAATAGTCTCACCCGAAAAATCACAATAAATGAGTGGTACGTAACACTCCCCTAACACGTGACCGTGAGAGAGACTATCGTAAAAGTACGTAGTTAACAACAAGCTGTGCGAATGAGCCTCTTTGCCAACTTGGATGTTGAAAACAAAAGTCTCGTTATACTGAGGGTTCACCGAGCGCCGATGAATCGCAGTCTGTTTACGGCGTTCACGATTGGGGAGTACACAAATGGTCACGCAAGTATCAATGCTTCCAGAGTAGTCCCGCGGTGGGAAATCTTTTCCGCTGATCAGTGTGACAGACAGATTTCTAGTCTTTTGGTTGCATTTAACGACTAAATTTAGTTGTCCAAGATCCTTGTTCTTTCCTATCCGTATCGTTCTTTCCTGATTCTGGTACAACTCTGGATTCAGATCGCCTATTGATTCTTCTTTGAAATATAGAGACATTAACCTGAAAGGGAGAGAGAGAGAGGAAGAATCTTACTCCCTTGAATCAAAGTCGTTTGTTCACAGCATGCAGCTGGTGACCGCCAGGCCAGCTAAAATTTTAGACGTTGTTCAATTTGCTTCTCGTCCCGTTTACCCTAACCTATCTCTTGATGAAAGAAGTTTTAATTTGACAAGGGCCAATATTACACAGCAGAAAAAAGGTAAACGAAAAGCAGCATTATTAGACCATATATACACTGAAAAGCACCATAAGCAGTGTATAACGTAACAGGCTTCTGTTAGTATCCAAATATCTATCTAAGGGCTAATGAAAGGGTTTGCCTTCCTTTCCTTTCCTTTCCTTTCCTTTCTTTTCTTTTCTTTTCTTTCCTTTCGTTTTAATTTCCTTTCGTTTCTTTTCCTTTCCTTTCCTAGGTTTCGTTTCCTTTCCTCTTCTCTTTCCTTCCCCTATCCTTAGCTACCTTACTTACGAGAGGCGTCTCTCCTCAGAAGTCTTTCCCGTCCTGCCTTGGGAGAGATCTGGAGGTGGCTGTTGTACCACACAGCTGCGAGAGCTTGGGATACAGAATTGCGGCGACACTGCAACCACGCCTTCCCTCGATTTAAATGACCGAGCTGACTCGGAGCGTTTGACGCCCGTACTGCCTCTCGCCTGTTCACTTCGTTTTGAACGCCTTCTTTTTGAGCGTTTCTTCCAGCGCTCTTTCAAAACTTTGCGGCAAAAATTCCGAAGATATTTACAAAGTGCTCCCAGAACAAGTACACTTGATGTAACGAACAGGAATATCAATCCTCCAGTCAGACCCGAGATAGAGTCTGCGTGACTTGTACGATGTACATCTGGAATTCTGGGCATTTTCTTGTTAGTCACGCAAGCGTGGTAAGAATGTAACACTATACCAGCAAAGCGTGATACTTGATAAGGTCATACTTGGAAATTTTAAACAAAAGATCTTTTACCCAAGAGATCGAACAAAATGACGACCATTGAAGAAACTCACTAAAGATAAAAAGAAACAAAACAAAATAAATGTAAACACAACTTGGAATCAGACAAATTGTGGTGGTCATATTTTACAAGTTATCATTTATCACTCAGGAATGGAGTATTTTATTTTTGACTGCTGGTTGCGCAATTTTAATTTTCTGTGTAAGAAATTAATTATCAACATATGGTTGTGCAAGTTTTTCAAAAACATTTTTTTTTCGATTTGTTCCACATTTCTTTTTGCGTGACTTACTTTATTACACGATATCTTCTGTCGATTTTTCTTTACGTGCCTTTTTTAGGGTAATTATGTAAGACCAACCCCTCCATCAAAAATATGACGATCCATCCCTAAGGAGAGTCATTGATGGAGTAAATTTTTCAGAGCTTTTAAGGGAAACTACTAAAAAGAGATTACAAAGATTATAAAAAGAAGAAAAATGGCCAACTATCGACCACCTTGCGGGGAGCAGAGCCTCTTTTATTCCTTTTACTGAACAAAGCATATGTACCGTAAGAAAAGGCTCTGTTTGCAGGGCGACTATCGAATTGTTCAGTGTACAGACGATGTCGAAGAAGGAGCTAGAAGGTGTGACGAAGTCTTAAAGCGCTTTAATTTAAAGTGTTTGGTCAACAGCTGATAAAATCCGAGACAGAGTATAAACATAAATACAACGAAGTTGCTTGCGTTGTGCCCTTCCCTATAAACAAATCAGATTAAGAATTTTTAACTCATTCTTTCGCTTACGTTTTGATATTATTAAGCAGCTACATTGATGTGACTCTGAGATATATTTTCACGGCTTTGCACGGCACTCAAGTCTCACCAAATTGCTTCAATGTGGGTGACAAGTGAAATGAATTAAGCTAAAAGTCGAGAAACAGTTGCCGTCAGTTCAAATTCACCTTCAGTGTACGGCAAGCAAGCAGTAAAATAGAGGTAAAAATGTGCCGGTAAAACAGAGTCACAAAGATTGTGGAGAATGATACATGTGAAAAATCAGTGCGCCGGCATAGCTTAACAAACTCCCGCGAACATTACGCGCGCAAATGTTGATACATGGTGACCCAGTGCATGAACAAGACTAAATAACAAAATTCGCAAATTAAACTGAATGGTCCACGAGCTATCGTATTAACAGGAATAACTGAACTAAACAATAATCATTAAATCTTCGTTACATTAACCTTTTTTTACCGTATTTCTGTGCCTTGTTTGCTGGACTGAAGAAGTAAGGCCCACTTTTTGGATTTCAAACTGAACATTGCTATGAACGCGATTAATTCGCTTCCATAGAAACAGAACAGATTATCTGGATTGTCGCAGTTGAAACGCGATCTTTAAAATGCCTGGTATGCGAACAGTTTCCCTGGCTACAAAGTGAAGCCAGAGGACCTAATATCCTCGATTATCCCTGCTGTTTGTATGGAGAATATCGCGAGTACCGAGATTTGTATTCTTGATGCTCGCACGCCGACTGTTAACATCAGGAGCTGGGCGAGACACTTTCGAGAAAGAAATCACGAGAGTGCTTGGTGGGGAGGGTGGGGAGGGTGGAGGGAAATGTAACGTTAAGTTGTTTCTAGCTTCGTCTGAGGACGACAACCAGTACAATCATACATTACTTAAAAATAATTTTGGTCCAAATTCACAGAGGACCTCTCCTGGGGGCTGAACAAACAAAATAAAAAGCCCTTTTTTTTTTAGAACTGACGGCCTCTGGCCATACTCAAGACTTCGGGCAAATTAAAGTTTTTCTCTACGATATTGCTTTCAAAGCAACTTTTGTGTTGAATTAAATTCCGGTTCAGTTCAAATCTGGCGTAAGCGTGCGTTTGACATTTCGGCGGCACAAAAAGCAGTACTGTTTCGGCAAAATTGTTTGAGTGTGTTGAATGTTTACATTTTACGTTGTTTTAGTTGTTTTACTATGCAACAAAAAGCTTGAAAAGTTGCCAAAGTTGGAAAGTTCGGAGCGGTCCGTACCCGGGGTTCGGATGGGAAAATCCGGACCGCGCTGGAGCGCGATTAGCCAATCAGATTCAAGGATTTTGGACTCCGGACGGTTGAGAAGCTTGAAAGAAAGATAAAATGGGCACCTAGTAGGTATTATATTAAAAAAATACAATTTTCAAGTAAGAAATACCTCTTTTCACCAGAAATACCAAAAGATGAAAGAGTCATAAAAGTAAGGGAGCACTGAAGAATGTCTGGCAGAGCTGTATACGCTTACATATATGCTACAAAATCTTATCATAACTTCCTGGCTATTTACTGTTCTGCATACTACAATTTGACGCCGTTCCACTCTTAAAAAATAGTTCATTATCTATAATTATACCGAACTGATTAGGTTTTAGACGAACCAGAAGCCGTTGAGCAGTTGAGAGTGCATTCCTTCCGTTCCGTTGTAAAAAAATAGAGTTTAATAGGAAATTTATTGTATTCTACGATAGGGTTCAGAACAAGAAACGAAATTAACCCGGACTCTTACCAAAACAAAGTGCTGCAGAAGTGGGATTATTCATTGTTCCGTTGCCGGGAAGCAAATAGCGTGGAACCGTTTCTCTCCCACCCTCTACACTTCGTCTTTTTTTTGAGACATTTTTCAGCTTTTGAAGTTACGTGATAACAAACACGATCTCTCCAGGGACTTAAGTTAAGAGTGTTCAAATCTCCAGCAGGCTAATCTAAGTAGCTACTTCAGTGAGGTCCTTGGTGATATCTTGTGATCCTCGAGGTATCTATTCGTAAACAGTGCAAATTACAGATAAACACAGTGTTGATCAGTGTTAGACTAGCCTGCAAGGGCCACCTTCGGGCTGAGCAGCACGAAAACTCGACCACACGATTAACATAAATCAGTTGGATTATGAGATTAGTTCACAAGTAAAGATTAACTACTGGCTGTCAGCTTTAACACGAACTCTTCGCTTATTTTGCCTTTGCTCTTACAGTCTAGGCTTATTTACGTCCGTCGCCGGATTTGACCGTCGGCTACTGATTACTTCACCCATTCCAAAACTGACAGGCCAAATTTCACGCTCAAGAGTATAAAAATATGTCGGCCTGTTTTTTCTGCGTTGTTTAAATCGCATGGATTAAAAATCGCACCTTAATCTGCTGTGATTTTAAAGTTCGAGCCAATTTTATCCGCGAGCACCTTTCAAGTCGGGTCGAAAAATAGTAACTCAGCTACAAATTAGCCAAGCGTAATCAAAAGCGATGAACTAGCGCAGATTTTATGAATTTTTTCGGATTTTACCTATTTTACCGTCACAACTTTAAAATCGCATTTTATATGAAGTCCGCCGGTAGTTTATTTGTTCTTACTTTTTTTACCTTTCTTGTGGAGAAACGAGATCCGTTTCAAAAGATAGTAAAAGCTACAACTGTAGTAAAATGAGAGTGTTTTAATATGATATTAGCAAAAGCGCTTGATGAAAACTTGATATGGAGGCTGTCAGTATTAACTTCGTGACGTCATGGGATTAACATAATGCGTGCAGGCAAACCACATTGTTCGGCGTCCATTTCTATTTTAAGACCTGTATTAGATTGAAGCGTGTCTCTTGGTAAGTTAGGCCTTTGACTTAGCGCCAATATCAGCAAAGGTCACTGCGATATAGGCACGGGGAGTAAGCTCCGCCGTTCAGACGTTGATTCCCGCACGATCTTCGCTTAACAGCGAGCTGGGAGCTGAAGCTTAAATTTTATTCAAAGCGGTGGCTTAATCCGAGCGATTTTCTTCAATCGGTTCGTTTGAAGCGATGACTTACGCCGGTGAAAGACGAAGTGGTGATTCTCTAGATGTACTCCTTGTCGCCAACAAACGGAAGCCCAACTTTACGGAAGGAGAAAGTCTGTACTTAATCTCTCAGTTTGAGCGCAACTCCGGAGTACTCACTTCAAAGCTGAACGATGCGTCCACTAATAAACAAAAGGTCGAAGTTTGGAAGCGCATATGCAGTGATTACAACAGCAGGAATCCGATCGTTTTACGCACTGCAAACGACCTCAAGAGAAAGTGGAAAAACATGGTTCGTGCAGCAAAAAAGGAGCTGTTGGAATCTACCGCACATTCAGAAAGCGGCGAACAGTCCCTTGCACCAAGAAAACTTTCTCCGGTTAGTCAGAGGATAATAGAAATTTTGCGGATTACTGTGGCAAACTGTGGCTTCTCAGCAGCGTCACCTGGAGATCCTGCGGGGATAAACTTTGACGATGGTATTGCCGACGATCCAACTTTCTTGGAAGAAGGAGGGGAAGAGAATGGCGAAAGGGAAATCAATGGAGAGCGACAAGTCGTGCACGTAGTTGTGAAACCCGAAGTGAAATCCTCGATAGTTTCACCTGCTACAAACACAGAAAATACCGCAGAGGATTCACAGCGGAGTGCGGCTAACATAGAACCCTCTCTATCGGCCCTGAACTCGGCTCAAACGTTGAGCGCGGAAGATCAACAAACGACCCACGAGCAGGTTCCAGGGACTTCCAGCAGTCAGGTACCCAGTTCCCAGGGTAGCAGTAAGACTACAGCATCTGCTGTTCCCAGCGTCGAATCTTCCATGTCCGAAATCAGACAAATTCCGCGTGTGATCGCCACCAGTAACACAGACGGTGGAGGCAGGCATCGTCTCGTGGTACCACAGCACAAAAGGATGCTCTCTTCCCCAATTACCCACGTGCTAAAAAAGAGAAGGTGTTCCGACTATGATTCATTCGGCTCGCCGCACGTGCGAGCTGAAATTGACAAACTCAAAAAGGAGAAGCTAATGCTAGAGAAAGAAAAACTGGCCTTGGAAAAGGAGAAGTTGGTTATGGAAAAAGAAAAGCTCGCTCTTGAAATACAGTTTCTCAGAGATCAAATGGATTAGAGAAGGATAATACCGTTTGTCAGTGACTGGGCGGAAAGTGCATTTATCCACTGAACAAGGTACCGGTAAAGGTTACTAAATGCTGAAGAGAGAGATAATGTTAATTTCGTCAAAGACTGACATAGAGAAAAGCTTTTTTAAGGACTTCAGTTTATTGTTTAGTTTTAGTTCGTTTTGCGGTTTCATCAAGTCCACTTTAATACTTTAAAGAGAACAATGCACTGAATTTGTTGGAATCGTGTTTGATTATTTGTTGCCAAACGTCCACGTTGTTATGTGTATGATTGTACATGAATCTAGTGTATATTTTTTAAGGAAGTCCCGAGCACTCTGCAGTGACTCCAGATAGGGTCATGTCACACTGGTACATCAAGCCAAATAGACTAAATAACGGTTTACATTTGCCGATTTGGTTTCCAAGTACAATTGAACTATTTTGTTATTCATATTAAAAAAATGTCACGTATTTTGTTCTTGGCGCTAAGAGAAAACGATGTGATGACTTCACAACTACATTTAATACAAATTAATACAGAAGAAGTTTAAATTTTGTAACAGAGATAAAAAGTATTTTCTTGGTAAACACTGCAGGCAGCCTTTAGAATATTGCAGTCTGTATGTAACAGTTGCTAGGTCTACGACTCTGCGTTTCTCGTTTTCATGAGCACTTGTCCCTGCGTTTTCAGTGATATATCAAGGCAGCAAAAAGGGGCAATTTTAATCAGTATGATATCATTCGGACCATTTGATAATGACTGAATTTCGAGGCCGCTTTATTGGCCAATTTTGCAAGTTTTATCTAAGCTAAGCAATGTGTGCTGAATTACAGTAGAATGCAAAGGAAGAGTTATTGTCAGTTGCACCTGAGATATACTGGTGCATTGTGAAAACGTTACTTTAATTTTTCCCTAAACCAATCTTTTCGCGATGACATCCCTAAATCTGAACCCAAATAAGCTGAGAGCGATTTCTTGAGAATGGAGCCCATGCAGTTAGACCGAGAAATCTACAGTGAGAATCTGTTGTACTGTTTTGTTGTTCTCAGTTTTGTCCAAGCGATAAGCTGAGTCAGTAGCAATACTGTTATTGTTTCATCACGGATCAATGCAAATAAAATTGTGTTAATCTGTATTACGTGTTATGATTCTAGTCGAAGCTTCTGTTTATACTTGGTCTGGCTGATTACCATGCATACAGACTGCTCAGGCGAAATTTTGTTCGCATGTAAAGAATAACCGTAGTAGTATATGTAATATATTTCAATGCAAAACATTTGATTCGGCAACGCCTGTAAATACAGTGCTGTACACCAAAAACAACTGGCGACGGTTGGTTCTGCCTCGGTTGGACGAGCGCATTGATTGTTAATCAAAGTAAATGATTATTCCATGGGCCATTAATTTGGGCATTAAGCTTTAGGTAGGTCACTGAAGCGTTTAAAAAAACTCAACGGAAACCCTTAATTTAAAATCTCTGCAGTTCCGTAGCGGTTAAACAACCAACAGGCTCAACGTTCATGCAAACGATGTTTGCACAAAGTTGTAACTGACTGCAAGCGAACTATAGAGCGAAAAATAATTAAACATTGTAATCTGAAGTAAATTAACTTCTTCAAGAAAGCGAAATACATTTGAAAATGGCCTTCAGTATCTTGGGATAAAATCAAGATTCATGTTGTGCAAATGAACTGAGTTCTAAGCACTTGGAAGTTTTGATATGTATTTTAAATACCTTCATAACTCCTGATAAAGACATCATTGAGAGCGTGATGTTCTTCGGGATTGTCGAATTTCTCCTTAAAATGTCGTTGTCATCAAATTGCATACGTTTTCAGTTATCTGTCCTTATTATAAGCTGCAGAGCCAAAAACGGTACTGGCCGACAAATGACTGCCGCTGTCAAATTTTTTAAATTGCATATTGTAATTTTTTTGTCAACGGCGGCGAGTATTTGAGAGTCACGCTTGATCGCTCAGTTGACATAGAGTTCTTTTGTTCACTGGTATTTATGCTTTTAGCAAAAAACTGCAAGCAAATAATAAGCTTGAACAAACGGATCATTAATTGTTCCTCGTGAAACGACCAACTATAAAGCTGCAAGAAACCCGGACTTTACCGCTTGAAATGTCAATGTACGCGAACAATTTAAGTACTTGAAAAGAGCACCTGGAGAATCAGGCTTCAGAGGGTTTGTGGGAAAAAAATTATAATGTAAGTTTGCTAGAAGCGACAAGTCCGGTGGGTTAATGAACATTAGATAAAACTCAAGTGGAAAAAAATTCACTGTTCATACATTCCCATGTGTCCAAGAAGCTGGACAAGCGGTACAGGAACACAGACAACACCCATAGCTTAGATTTTGCAGTTTGAGCTGATCATTCGATCACGCAAAATCAAGAGTGCTACCGGGGACCGAATTATGGCTCGATTTGGGAATTTTCAAGTTCCTTTATAGAAATGCTGGATGACAACTTCAGAGCTTTAAATTTAAACAGAAATTATCAGATATTTATACATTTTACCTGTGACTAATTCTCTTCGCCGGCTTCGACGTTTCAGGTTGCGAGATAAGTTAAATAGGTCCAAAGGAACCTTTTTATCACTCTTTTAACTTCTATTTGTTCTATTGTGATAAGTACAAAAAGAAAAGAAGCCAATGATCAAGTTGCGTAATCCCGTTGGGCTTCGACTTAAAAAAATCAATTAATGGCACTCACTCCAGCCAATATATTTACCAAATTCAAATCATAAGATAAATCAGCTGATTTTAAGACATTTAAACTTACTGACAAGGGTCTGAAAATATTGTCATGATAAAATTGATATGGTTGCTCACTTCATATTTTCATTGTTGGGCATTTCATTGATTGTTTTTCAATTTCTTTTTAGCGAACCTTTATTAAAGCCCAATGAAAACAATACAAAATATGAAAATTGCAATTTACAACACTTCTGAATAGTAATGAACAGTACAGGCCGGTTAGGTGCCTTTTACTCATTTTAAATACGAACCTAAATAACAAAAAGAAGCGTCCTCCTTACACACAAAAAAATGCATGGTAGTCTGTTCTGCCTATGAGCTGCGTGAAGGCCTCATGAGTGCGCTCGTCTCTGGATCGAGCGGTCCGCCGGGTTCGAGGCCTGGCCAGATACATTGTGTTGTGTTCTTGGGCAAGACACTTTACTGTCTCAGTGCCTCTCTCCACCCAGGAGTATAAATGGGTACCGGCAAATTTTAAGCTGGCATAATCCTGCGATGGACTAGCGTCCCATCCAGGGGGAGCAGAAATACTCCCAACCCTTTCATGCTACAGAAACCAGCATAAGCTCCGCCCTGGTGGGCCACTTGGCTCGTATGCAGATTTAACAGACTTACCTTTTGCCTTCCTAGGAGTAACAGAATTTCTAAAGCACGCACGAATTCGATTGCATTCTAAACTTCAGGGAGGGGGGCTATTATTTCATCGCCGATAGTTTGACTAAACAAACACTTCACTTACAACCGAGCTGATCGTGTAATAGGTTGACTATAACATTGCTTTTGTTTTTGACTTTGTTCAGCCGATATTACAGCGGGAAAGTACGGGAGATAGAGAACTAATGCCGGACTGTCACAAGTTTTAAAATGAACAAAGAAATGCGTTTTGTTTGATATCAGAGGCTGAATAGTCGTTCAGAGATTCACATTGCAAGTATCTGAAAAGTCACAGTTTTTGTATCTAGAAAATAGATGAAAAACCATTGGACCAGGTGATGTAGCAGAGATTAGCACAGATGAATAATAATACGCCGCCCTGACCCGAAACGAGTGGAACACATTTAACATCAAGATGGTATTTACAATAAGTAAATAATACATAAAGAGTTCATAAATTTGAATCTGGTACCATTTTCTTCTTTCTCCTCTTCTCCTTCTTCTTCTTCTGATATCCACTAGCTATTTTCTCATTTGCCTTCTTGCAGGTTTGACGAATTAGCTGTCTGCAATGTGGTAGTTTTCTACTTTTAATTGCCACTGGTCGAGCACTTTACCACATTTCAGCGCGCTTTTGCATGTTAGGTGTTCCCTCAGTGAGCCCAGTGAGTTCACCATAAAGTAAGGTACACAAGAGATACATAATTTCACAGAGTTTCTGATGAGCTGAACTAAGATCAGTAATCGATATATTGATCTCGCTTGTTTTCAGTTTTAAATTTTCAAATAATAGTATTCTCTAATGTATTTCTTTAGTCTGTTAATTTGATGTATCCCGCCAAAACAGTAACATCACTAATGCTATCTTCCCTATCTTCCCAACAAAGCCATTTCTTCAGTAATTTCTTTTGACCTTGTATCTTCACTTTACTGACAAAAAATAGTTTAGACTCACACTTAGGACTTTGCAAAAAAAATTATTTGGCATCAAATTCCCAGCACGTACTGTAATCTACGCCATGTCCGCCCTACTTTTAAAATGGGGCGAGGGTCACTATAAACTATTTTGCTGAGTACACGCGAGGCGCACGTGAAAATTCGTTGTAGGGGACGACTACATAACAAACGATAACAGGGGCAAAGTGTATTTTCAAGAGATAAGTTGAGGAAACCAATAGGTTATCTAAGCGGTCAGACTCAATCGGACACGTACGGTGAAACACGATTAGATAGACCTCGCACGTCCCACTCTTGTTTACATGTAAGCTCGTATTGACTTCTTACAAAGAGAACGAAAACGAATATAAAAAGGTAGTCAAGTCGTACAGCCGCCAGAAAGATGAGTGCTGAGAAGTGGCTTTGAACTGCGCCTGTTCAAACTGGGGAGCACTGCCAACGATGCGCCGGGTCTGCCCACAGAAACATTAGACGACACGTTTTACCGACTGTGTTGTTGCAAAAACAGACAAAAAAAACCGTTAAACCGTAAAGCCTAACATAGAAAGCCAAAGCACTTCACACTGTTGATCATATTTCATATTAACCCCGATTTAGCAAATCAGCGAAACTAAACGAATACACCTTTATCTGTGACATCATAATGGAATTACTTAGTCACCGCCCCTATGGCGTCTCCATTCCCTGCCTAAGTTAACAAAAGGCTATTCTTAGAGGAGGGCAACAAAGAAGCTGCCAATTCAGCTGCTTTGTCCACCCCTCCGGACAATTCAATCAACACTTGTTATTTGCTCTTTAATAATTACTACAGAAACTAGAGCACAACTAGGAGCTAGACAACTGATATTAGTATTTCAATAGTCTGTGAAACTAACCAGAAGCTTGTGAGGTTATACACTGAATTGATCAACAGGTGTACACTGTACTATACCATCAAATAATTAGCTCAGACCAGTCTTGTAAGTCTTCTTCATTCATTATCTCTCAGTGATAAATCATTTCACTCCCAAATAAACATACATAAAACAATTGAATTATGCTGTATATATCAAATTTAAATAAGTTCCCAAGGAATGTATAACACAGTAAACCAACGAGCAGTTTCAAATACTTTCAACCCCTAAAGCCAACAGGTAGTTTTTCCCCAGAATTTCAATACAAACTGGAAGCTCATGAAGACCAACTTGTTTAGTTCTTTGTATGCAATGCGAGCCTATGATCTAAACTTTCAGAAATATTATCAAAATCTCCCAGCTAGTATGAAAAGTATGGAGGTTGGTTATGAGAATCAGAATGTTGCCACAGAGCTTTAAGAAACAAACAATGTTTTACTAACACCTAACAAAAATACATCTTTTCTGTTACCATCAAGCATACATTAGCAGCCATATGCAGAAACTGACAAAGCTTTGCTACCTTTGGTATGCCCTGCAGTATAAAGATATCACCAACCGCATTTTTCTTAATCTGGCATGTATCGCTAATCAGGAATGGGGGTTCTCATATCTTTTTGTATGCCAACCAAGTTTTAAGAGCTTGGGAGTAAGGAATTCTGAAAACCACTATCGATTAAAAAGCAGTTGGTTTTTAATGTTCTATACCTCAGTTTTTGGTTACAGCTTATCATAACTACATTACTGTATTTACAGTAATATTTTAATATTTATTGGTAGTAAGTCTAGTAGCCAGTTTCCTCCTCCATTGATACAGGTTGGGAGAGAATAATAACACTATCTGCAAAAAGACAACAGAAATATATTATACCTTTAGGGTGGAGTTTCAGAAAATACCAAATTCCCCCAAGCCCCCTTTACAGAAGGTTGTTTACCTTCCCCCACAGTTGGCATTACATATTGTGCCATTTTTACATTGCATGCTTCTATCATCAAGAACTCTGGACAGGGGTCAATGATGCCTTTTTGGTATTATAAAAGACAAATCAATTGACATCAGTTTTTCATGTGTCTGTCCTATAATCCACAATGAATTTTGGGCATCCACTAAGCTATCACCTTGTGGATCCCCAGCTACTTTGACATTATAACGACGAAATTCCTGATCAATAACAGGACACATTAAAAACTGACCTCAATTTGTTAATTTGCACATACATGTAAGTTAGGTGCTTTTACCAGTTAAATATTAAGGTTAAGGTTTGAAAACCACAGTTTGGAATGGGAAACAAATTGCCATGTAAAATTGTTATTATTTTATGGCAGATGTTTGCATTCACTGGTTTGATGGGAGTTTTGATGGTCTGATAGTTAGCATGTTGGCCTTTGGATTCAGTGGTCTCTGTTAAACTTTACTCTAACAGTACCTCTCTCCACTAAGAGTATTAATGGATACTGTAACAAGTATGCTTACATGAAGTACTAGTCTAGTTCCTGCCTTGCGGGTCACACAACAGAGCTTGTGTGGTCGGCCATGTTGTAGTTTTGTTGTGCTGCTTAGTGCAATAAATAAGTTTGTTTTGCAGATTCTGTTGTCTATCTGCCTGTCATTACAGATACCTGTCAAATGTTTATGAAACCTGAAATAACACTTGTGGTGATAATACTAGCTATGTGTAAGACTTGCGATCTCTTCATGGTACAGAAATCTCAATACTATCCAGCTATGTCACTTAGGCTTGAGCACAGAATAAAGCATCATCATTTTGAAATGAACAGCAGTACTGCTGTGATGAGACAAAACTTAATAATTTTGTAGATGTTTAAAAGATTCTTACCAGGAATGATACTTGTGCTAAACCTTTTGATACCTTCCTGGTCAACATAGTTGCTATAGTCTATATGCCCTTGAATAAAGAGTCGTGTTCTACAGGGAAAAAACAAGATTCAAGTAAAACAATATATGTTATCAAATCCTCCAGTGCAGTGTGGGGATAAATGTGTAGCTACTAGGGAAACTTATTGAAGAAGAAATATCTTAAGCAACCTAATTTTCCTCTGAGAATCCAAACTTAATACATATTATCCCCAGTCTGCGAATGAAACATCTGGTGTGTGACTGTTTGAAAATCAGGCATTGAACAGTACTTGCATGTGGTACCTTAATTAATTTTACGATGTACAATGTGATTCTGACTGGTGAATGCACCCGTAGGTGAGACAATTTAAGTTTTATAATTTAATATTAGCACACAGTTTGAGTTACAAATCTTTAAAATCTGAACAGGCTTACCCTTTCCTGACATACGAGTTCACTGTATCTTGTAACCAAGGTTTGAAAACTGCCACATTGTGCCACTGTGTCTTGCTTTCTAATCTATTTTCTGAAAAAGGAAATCAGGGAAAGTTCATTTCAGTCTAGCTACCTTCCATAATGACGACAAACTACCATTTGAAAATTATATACAAGACAAAACAGCCCCTCAGAGATAAGCAGTGACTCACTGCATAAGGAAACTTGGCAAAAAAATGTTTGGTGCACTCACATGTATACAGGCCCTGTAACAAGATCTACAAATAAACAAAAGCCTACCTCAAGGAATAAGCATTTTGACATGACACCTTTTGAGCTTGGTTTGGTTGTAAAAATGTGAAAAATTATGCAATTTGAATGATGAAATTGGGATATATTATGTGACGGACTGGTGTCTGACAAATCTAGACTCTTTGACAACCAGAAAAACAAACCCTCTTTGGTATGAAGGATAAATTAGAAACCACCATAATATATTGATGTTTTCTCACCAGTATATCAAGGATTATATAGCTAAGTTGGTTCTAGATCAACAAGGCAGTGTCACAGAGGTCACGGGTTTGAATCCCATTGTGGTCTTATGCTTTTTTTTATTCTTTAGACTAATAAAGCAATAGACCATTTTACAGTTGTCTGCTCAGTGACCTGGCCTTTGTATGGCAGCGAGGCTAGAGTTGACCTTGTTTTGATACTGCTTTTGTTGTGTAAAACAAGTTGTTCTGATGCTAACTAGGTGCATTTACATGACAAAAGCAGTGAGGTCTGTATCAAAACAAGGTCAACTCTAGCCTAGCTGCCATACAAAGGCCAGGTCACTGAGCAGATAACTGTAAAATGGTCTATTGCTTACAAAACTAGTTATAGACTTAAAGGGTCATTTTATTCACTAACAAATTACATGCAACTTTCTTGTAGTTTTCCATTGTTTTTTTTGTAGTTTTCCCTTACCTTCTCTTGATTGGTAATACTGTGTTGTCGCTAGGCTGAACTTGGTTGGCTGGTGGTCAGTGCTCCCTTTGAGAGGATCACTCCCAGAATAACCAATTAACTGCACGCTATTGAGACCTACGAGCAGACAATCAACAGTTGACATTCATTTCAATATTGCTTAAAGGCATTCTGAACTTAAAATTCAGTGAGTTTGACCAGTATATTTCAGGTAGTTCATGGTAGTCGTGTTTGTGGGGGGGAGGGGGNGGGGGGGGGGGGGGGGGGGGGGGAAGGCTCTCATACATAAGTGATAAGAGTGTCTACTGCTAAGGGTAGGGTTTTCAAGTAGTTTAGGCTGGAATGGGGTACAGAAAGAAGACATTTTGCTCTGTAATGGAATATTGTCTACTGGGAAACTGAACGGTTGTATGAATCATTCAGTCCACAATGAAATTAACAGTTAGCATAATTTGAAGGAACCTTACTTTCAGTAAATGAAAATGCAAAGCATTGAAGTAACTTTGCCAGCAAATGACTGTGATAGTTATAGGCTTTATGGAAAATAGCAAGTCCAAGATAAAGTTGGGATTTTTGGTGTCTAGCCTAGAATAGGGTTGAACTCCAAGGAAGTTAATCAACCCAATATATAATAAGCCTGTAGTTGCTGAGTTTCTTAGACTTTTACACAACTGATGTTCAACATCCAGGTTCAGGTCAGGTTGTTGGCTCTTCCTCTGTTTGCGCAGCAAAAATAGTCAATGCTTTCAGAAAATAGCAGTAGCCTAGGGTTAAAGAATAGACAGTGCTACAGAAATTTTGTCAACATACACTTTCCACTCCTCCGAGGTATTTCTGCTTCACATCTCGTGGCGATCCGCTTGAGCTGACAAAAACAAGTAAGCATGAGTTACCACAATGCAGAATTTCACCGGGCCAGACAAAACAAATGAATACACGAAAGTTGAAAATGTCCTTAGGTACCTGAAGAAGACACTGTCGACGAAACATGCTTGCTGCTGAACAAAATCAATCGCTTCGTAACCTCGCCTGACTTACTTTCCCGCGCATCAATCTTAACATTTTTCACAAATCGTTTATCAGGGGGGTTTTATTAGAGAGACGTTCGTGTTTTCCCTTTTGTTGGATTTAAAGTTTTATCAAGCAAAAATAGGTCACTAGGTCTTTCTCGGTAAATTTTTGGCAGCAATAGTATTAACACTTCATCTCCACCCACCCTAGCCCCAAAGGGAAAAAATTATATTAGGTACCAGTCTACCGAACCACAGAGAAGAGGTGTTTCCATAACAACAACATGCACCCCGCCATGTTTTTGTGAAGGAACTGAAGAGAAGAAGGTTTAGAACAGAACGCAAGTATTTTGGCCCCTGAAAATGTATGATCGAGCCCCAAGAACACTAACTAGACCTGCGGACAGTACAGGACACAATGTTGGACCTGGATCATACGAAGCTCCGGAGTATATCCATTCAAAATACGGTATGAGTTCCTACACTTCTCAACCCTGCTAAACCATCAGCTGGTTTAATCTACAATAATTGCAAGTTTTCTTTCCTTGTCGTGTGATATGCGCATCTAGCAGTGGAAAAACCTCATAATATTAGGTGGTTCAAAAGGAAGAAAGAAATTTCATTGATAAGTGCGATTACTGAGACAATTGTAGCGTTGAATAAAATTCATGAACAGCTGTAGCTTCAGTAAAATCTTACATGTAACTTAACTTCCTCAAGGAAAGAACACGTTTAGTATGGCAGTATGATGGTTGTCTGTACTGTATGGACTCATGAGGCTGTTAAGCGAAACGTGTATATTAGATATGGCTGTCTTATTCTCCTAAGAACGAAGAAAGAACGCTTTCCTCACACTCTCAAATACATTGTTTATTATCTTTAGTAAAAGAACAACATGATTAGAAGCCCAGAGAACACAATTTGTCAGTTGATGCAGACAAACTTGTCTGTTGATGCAATGTTATACAGGCGAACTGCAAAACTGATGAAGACCAGTTGACGCATTGTATGCAATGTGCCTGCAAATTAAACTTTTTGTTCCATATTGTGAACCAAGTCTAAATATACCAACATGCCATGCAAAAACCATGCTGTGAGTTAGTTTGCAAGTTGTATCTTTACTTGAATATTTTCTATGGTCATTTTCTAATTTAATATTATTAATATTCTGTAGATGGCTATGCACCATTTTTATCCATGACAACACGTGAGACGTTCCTTGATGTTGGTGATAGTGTCATGGCAGCTCCAGGACCTGGTCAATACGATCCTGGTATAATGGGAGAGAGAGTAAAAGGAGGACACACATTGGCCAATAGAGTAAGTATAGTCGGAACGGAAAATCCTTCAGATGGTCTCTGAAATTTTTGATTCATCTCAAAATCTCACCGATCGTTTTTCACGAGTGACAATTTTGTCTCATTTTTCTGTGTTTTCTGAGTCTTGGAGACAGTCAAAATTTTTTTTCCGTTTTGAATGCGTTGTAATTTAAATTGTGGCTTCTTCTATGGCTGTTAAGTATGCTTTATGGTATCCCACAAGCAATATGTTTCAAATGGTATATTTTGGGTTGATAGTTACTGTTTTACAAGATATGTGGTTTTCCCCATTTGAGTGAAAGGGTTAGCTGTAAGTGCCCAGCTATCAAAGTCCAGAAATTACTGTCAGTAAAAGACTGTAAATAAAACCCCTATTAATCAGCCACCTCTACAGTGTATTAAGCGGCCGCAGCCACCTTTTGGTCATCTCAATGAGGTTTTTCCAATTGTCTTTACCATTCTTACTACGATTATCAGTTGAGTAAGGCGGGACGAAAGTTTGGTCACCAAGTTTTAACGTAAAAATCATGCTGTTGTCACGAGCAACTGGCTCCATATCCATTGGCAACTTGTCNTGCCTTACTCAACTGATAATCATAGTAAATGGCCACCCAAAATTTAATACACGTATGTAGTTTAGCTTTGCTTTGGAAAAGGTGATGACAGATAAGAGTCCGAAATAGAAAGGGACGACTGATGAAAACATTCAAACACACATTTGTCATGATTGTCATGACAGGATTCTAGTATGTTCATAAAGAAATTAGCCTGATGAGTAAAAAATATTCAACCTATACCAACCCCTATTAAATGGCCACCCTCCATTTCTCCGAAAAAATTATGCAAGGGCCTATTTTGCCAGACTCCGGTTCTCACATGCTGGTAATTAGACAGTGCTTAATAGGGTTTAAACTCTATTCTTAATTTATTTTCTCAATAAATTTATTATTATAGGCTGCTAGATTTGATGGTAAAGAAATTCACACCCCAGGACCAGGGGCTTACAACTTGCAAAAACGTAGTGATTGGTTGAAAGAGAAGCATGCCCAGAAAGCACTTCCACCTGATTTACAAGTCGAGGAAGAAATGAAAGATGGATCAGTAAGTTGCGCAGAGCCACAAATAGACAGACACCAGCTAACTACATGTACATGTATCTGAACATATTTTATTGAACAATATTTTTTTTAAAATTTAAAATGTGTTAAGACATGAAAGACGTGCTTCAGGTGATAATTTGTTCCAAAATGGCAAACGGTTATTGAGGTGTCCAATCATGCCAACTTGTAATAGACAACATTCAACAACAACAAAGTTTATTTATACCAAAAAGGAAATAAAGAAGAATACATTAATTTTGAAGCTTACAAATGTGGTATGGCTACCTATAACAATCATACGGCTCAAAAAATCAAGGAGTTATCTATAGGATACAATAATTAATAAAATTACGGTCATGTGTAGTAAGTATAAAGCAAATTAAGTAACTTAATAAATAGAGATATAAACATATACAACAAATCTAAAAGCTAATATTACAACAAGGCAAGAAAAAAATTAATTACAAGAAGTAATGATATTTGCAACTGCACCAAGAATAGAGAGACAAGTAATATTAAAGCTAGGTATGTTCTTGAGAATGTCACTAAGGCATCTTATCTCTGTCAAAAAGGGCCTCTAAAATCTGATCACTGAAAAGAAAAGGTTGTTTCTTTCCTTTATAGTGAGGATTTTTGAACCATGAACACTTGACACTTTTTTGTGTATAATTTTTGGTAATTATCCATTAAGGACTCCTTGGATATTAACAAAACTTTTAGTAGAACTTTTATTCTATAAAACACTAGCTCTACTATTTAAATGAAAAGCCCTCAAGGGATAATCACCAATTTAAAAAAATGTACAAAAATGTTATGTGTACAAATGTATATGGTTTGATCAGTGTCATCACTGTACATAAGTATGTAACTATATTACTATACATGAACTGAATTTGGTGTAATATTTAGTTGAAAACCTGATAATACATTTGTCTGTGTCTGTAGATATACAAGACAAGTCGTATCACATTTCAGAGGAAGGCTGATCCTCCTTCCATTCCTTCACCTGGTAAAGCATACGGATATGAAGAAGGACCAGATGGGACTCTCAGGCCACAGGATATACCAAATCGAGACAGCACCATGGGACCTGCATATTACAGTGTTAATCATGTGAGCATGATCTTGCAAGTGTAGTAAAGATACATGTAAATGTGGTCATTACGTATAATACACCAATTACCATCTTATCTTAAGTATAAAATACAGCCAATCAGAATACAGGAAAGCTGTTGTAACAGTGTTGCACTCAAACTTCCCGTCATGCATTGCACTGCATTACTAGTACATGTATGTATTCAACAGGTTGTATCTTGTTAGATATTTGCATAAATTGGTGTAACTGGTCTGAAAATTACAAAGTTCCCGGGTGTCTAGACTAAAGTTCATTATCTGCTATATTGTCCAGAGGGATACCGCTACTGTTCAAAGGTATAAAGGAGTTCACTTCGGGAACAGAACATCAAAGAGAATGCAGTTTAAAGGTTAGAAAAGTTTTGAGCACATTATGTAGGGATAGCCAATTAACTTATGTAGGGACACTATACAGACCATTCCTTTTGAAGACTACTTGTTGTCTACCTGTAAAGTTGGTTTAGTTTGCATTTTTAGAATGTGGGTGAGCTAAAGCTCAATGAAGTTTCTCCATTAACAGTCAGCAATGTTCTCAATTTTATATTTTGTTTAGGCCAATTGACTTATTAAATAAACTTGTTTTTTTAAGTAGATTATCAACCCCACATTTTTAAAGTTGAAGTATCTAAGACCCACCTTAATCCTGATGTTTCTGAAATTTTCTTTAAATAAAATTAAAAAATAATATTTAATTGACCACTTCACAATGGGGATTGCAGGGCTAATGTCAACAAATTCATAATTAGATAATAATGAGAAATAAACAATAAATGGTTAAATAAAATATCCCAGCTAGCAGGAGGTAGACCAGTTAGCTATTTACAAAGTGTCATCATCATTTGCTGTAATGGAAAGCATGATGGCCCAAGTTTTGCTGAACTGTGGATTGAGTGCAGGTTTGATCATTGCATTGTGTTCAATTCTTGGGCAAAACACTTCACTCTCACAGTATTCAGAGTTCCAACTAGTTTTGATATTTAAGGGTTGTTGGGACCCCCAGTTCCAAAGAGTTTGGCATTCTTTTTGCTTTTCAGGAGTCCTTTGCCTATTTACTAAATTTTGGGAACTTTTCTCCTACATCCCAAGGACACGTTTTTCAAAAAAACTGTGCGTTCTTTTAATTTTTTTGTGTGTATAAGATACACACCTGTGTGTTAAGGGGAACTCTGAGTACCTCCCTCCACCCAGGTGTATAAAAATCATGATATATGTGTATTTTTCTAATGCTGGGGTAACCCTACAACAGACTAGCATCCCATCCAGGGGGAGTATAAATATTTCTAGTTGCTTCATGCTACAGAAACCTGAGATATGTACCTGCCTAATGTACCCCTAGGCTCGATCACAGACTTTGTCTGCCATTTTCTGTAATAATTGACCTTACCCAGTTAGGTAAAAAAAAAAAAATGCCCTTCTACTTCTCTTTAAGGGAGTGGTGGACCAGGTCCTGGACAGTATGATCCATTCAAGGAGCCTGGAGTCAGAGTACCAATTGATTTGGTAATATATGACATTGTTACTTGTGTCAACACTCCCTGCCCCACCCTTCTGCCGTCCATATGCCCACCTGCATGATTTAGTAATACAGTTATATGCTGCTGGCCACCTTTTGTCATGAGTGGTCACTAGCAGATCTTCATAATTGTTGGCATTGATTTAGTAATAGATTGTTTTCTTTTAATGACCTTGTTTTTCAAATTGTTAGGTAATTGAAGAAAACAGGAAACAACCCTTTGAATCAAAGGTATTGATATTTTAATTTTTTTGTCAGCATAAATAATTATAGCCAAGAAAATCTACTCACACCTCTTCTAGATCATTGATTATAACCCTTTTAATCCAAAAATGAAAAAAAGTTCATATTTTCCTTTGCACTTTCACTGTACATACTGTAACCTTTTGTATAATTGATGATCGAGGGAAACACTCAGTATACCAAGAGAATTATTACACCTTTTGCTGTTCATTTACAGAAAAGAAACATTCATTTGTGTCCAAATTTCTTTCTTTATGGTCAATAAACTCTCATTAACACCAATATGACCTTCATTTGCGCGTAAGGAACGTTCAAGAATAA